TGGAACTGTATACCCAAAATAAATAGGTCCTTGAAGTTGGCCCCTTAAATGATATTTTTCAAAAAAAAAACTATTGTACCAGAATGCACTAGTGATGCACCAATATGCACCACTAAGTATTTTTTTGCGTACCACCTTCCTTGAGAAACTATAGCTATCTCTTTAGGGGGGGGGGGGAATGAACGCTGCCCTCCGCCTCCCCTCCAGTGAAAATTTTAAGATATACTGTAATGCTCCAGTTAGCCGTTGTCATGCACTCATATGCACCACCAATTAAACTTTATGCCCCCCATTCCCCTTTAGTAGTTATAGCTGTTTCTTTACCGTGAAGTTGGTCCCCCCAATGATTTTTTCTTAAAAAAAAAAATGTTGCATCGGTATGCACTCATATGCACCAACAATTAAACTTTTTGCACGCCTTCCCTTCAGTAGTTACAACGATTTCTTTGTTGTGAATTTAGCCCTCCCAATGAAGTTTTTGCAAAAAAATATTGCACTGATATGCATTCATATGCCCCACCAATCAAACTTTTTACGCCCCCTCCCTTTAGTAATTATAGCTATTTCTTTACCGTGAAGTTAGCCACACGCAGTATTTTCCCAAAAAATATTGCACCGATATGCACTCCCTACGTCAGTCATTTTTAGCCCTAAATAAACTTTGACCACTTCGTCCTGATTATGCATATTTTAATGCACTCATTATTTCAGGTTACATCTCTCAATATCAATCCAAATATACATTTTTACAACAAATAAACATGTTTATTTACAACCATATATGTAATGTTGTCATTACTAACGTCATTGAAGGTTGGGAAGTGTCACATTACACACCTCTACTTTCCGCTCTCATTTCATCTATTCTAGATGAATATTTTTTATATTTTAAAAAAATAGCACAATTTTTTGACAAATTTTATAATACCTATTTAATGGCAAACAATAAAAAACAACAATGAACTAAAATACAACAAACTACTTATTGATATTTATTATTCGCGAATTTAATATCCGGATTTATCTGACATTTATTTATATTGATGACAGTTGTTTACCCCGTAATCACAGTAACAATATATTTACCTACTTGATTATTCTGAGAAAACCGCGTGCTTGGTAATTTGTCGTTAAATGTAATATTTTATGTATGTTCAGAACAAAACAGAGATTTATTAACTTTGATCGAAATATGATGGTTGTAAATAAAATAGTATACAAGCCAAGTTTCATTCCTGTCTCGAGATCATAGCTAACGTCGACGCTTCGCGTCTCGGTGATCTAACTAATTTCACGACAGGAATGAAACTCTTTCCACCTCGGTGTGTAATATACTATTACTGGCGCATTACAGTAAACCTTAAAATTTTTGTCACAAACTAAATTTTTAGGCGTTATAATTGATGCCCACATGAACTGGTCGGACCATGTACAACTTTTTTGTGGTAAACTTATTATTCCTTAAGAGATACAGTGTTTGTTTGGGTTCAGAGGGGATATGCTTGCGGACACTATAATGGCGACTCATTGTTTGTGTTTTGCAAGTCCATTAGAGATTGGACTCCCTAGACTTCAAACTCAGTCTGCCTCAACAGATAATCTAGTCATTGTTCAAAATTTATTTCTTGTAATCGTAAGGGGTTACATGAATACTGGCACATCAGAATGGTAGAAGACTTACAGTCAAACGACAAGTGAAGATTTCTAATGAAAAATTAATATTTATATTTCGATACAGTTGATCATAACCTTCTCCTATAATCTCTAGAAGATATTGGTATTAGAGGAAAAACCTTAAGACTATTTGAAAGCTGCCTTACCAGCAGATATCAGTCTGTAAAAGTAAGTGGAGAGGAAAGTGATCGAAAGCCAATAAAATACGGGGTGCTCCAGGGCAGTGTTCTAGGTTCAATTTTATTCAACATTTATATAAATGGTCTGTTGTCAATCTCTAGTAAGGGCAGAATTGTGGGATTTGCAGATGATACTGCAATCTTCTGCGAAGCACCTGATTGGGATGAACTCAAACGCATGGCTAAAAGAGATTTTCTCAATATTAAGACTTGGCTCGACAACAAAGTACTTACTGTAAATTTAGACAAGACTAGATACGTACTTTTCAGCTGCAACATCAGCTGTCTCCCCAAATTTAATCACCTTGACATTTCCATAAATGAAAATCATCTTGCGCTTCAACCTGTAACACAAATAAAATATTTTGGCATATTTATTGACAGTCGTCTGAAATGGGAATACCATATAAATTATACCGTAAAAAAATCGCAGCGTACGTTATATAAGTTTAAATTTCCGAAAAGATATCTTTCAGTTAGCTGTTTAACAACTTTGTATTATGCCTTAGTCGAAAGCCATCTTAGATATGGTATTCTAGTTTGGGGAAGCGCACTAAAAAGGTTTTTAAAACTTATGTTGTCGAAAGAATATCGATACTCAAGTGACCTATTACATGCCGAAAGTTAAATCATGGATATTAGGCAACTATACTTCTACTGCATAGCTCAAAAATATCATTTTAATACTAAACATGCTAACTTACCTTCTCACTCCTATCAAACTCGCAATAGAAATCTCCATATCGTGCCACAAGTAAGTAAATCACTCAGTCAATGATCTTATACCTATCTTGCTCCTAAGATACATAATGAATTACCAGAATCAATAAAAACAATTAAAATTACACGACAAAAATTTAAA